TTTTAAAAATAATGGTAACGTGTATGTTTCTTTTTTAAAGTGCTGTTGAAAAGATTTGAATAAAAAATGAAAATTTCCGAAAATAGAATGATAGTTTTGAGGGGCTGCAGGCTTATTTTTACTTATAATTATATTATGCTGCATTATTAAGCATGCATCGATTCAATTATGTATTTGGGTTTCACTTTCTTATTGTTTTTAGGTTTGTCACTATTTATTTATATGCTTTTTGGCGACATTGATCATTCATTATTACCAATGAGATTTTAAAAGTTTCAAATACAATTTTTTACCAATAATCAAAGTGCATATACACACAGCAATGACTAATTGCACATGTTTTCGTTTATTCTGGAACTTATTTTTCTGAAACACAATTTCAAGAAATTGAAAATTCTAGGTGGCCGACAGTAACGTATGTTACATTTAGGGCATTAATGGTACTTGTAAAAGAAAAATAACAGATAGAAATGTGTAAAACTGAGAGTGTCCCTATTAGACAAAGTGGCTGCCACCTTTCTAACGACATTTTGACCTCAAGAAGAAACCTTACGTAAAAGAGCTACCCAGTGGAACATCAAATGCTGTGTTTTATTGATGAATGAGCGTATATTTGTACATATAGTAAAATTTAAAATACCTTCTTGTAAAGACCCAAAAGGCCTAGAGCTTAGATATTTTGCATTAGGTATTGTCTGGTAGAGTCCTCTACCCAGATTGTTAAATTAAAGCTCTGGGGTCAAAGTCGGCCCCGCCCCAGGGACCATTGATTTTCCTCAGATTTACATAGTAAAAACTTAGTAAAAACTTAAAAAAAAATTCTTCTAGCAATTGACAAATGCCAACAGGTTAGATATTTTTTGCATGAAACATTGTTAAGAGAACCTCTAGCAAGATTGTTCAAATAATAGCCCTGGGGGTCAAAATTGCCCAGCCCGGGGTCATTGATTTTAAAAATTAAAATTAGTATAAATCTTATTGTCTGAAGGTACAAGGCTTAGAGCTTTAATATTTGTTAAATGATATCATCTATAGGTACTTTACCAAAGTTTTTTCAAATTTTTGCCTCTAGTTGTCAAAATTAAAAGTGAACTTTGATAACAGCTGACCTAGATTTTTGACAACATGTTGTCCTTTGATGCAGTCATGAAATTTTTAGGCTGTGTGAAATAGGACCTTCACCACCAAATTCTTTAGACTCAAGTGCATTGATATATTCCTACTCTGATCTTTTATTGAGATAACAATAGATTTAACCACTAATCTGATAATAAGAATTAGATAGGTCAGGGATCTATGCATTATGACAATCTTCAATTGTATAGAAACAAAAAGAAACCTGTTTCTACACTACTATTTACTGTTGTATTATTGCGGTGGCATAGCATTTTTCTCAAATGCAACCTTGTCAAAGATTTTTAGAATATGTTATTCAACATTTTTATGTTGTAACTTTCAATTGGGAATGTTTTGCTGTGGATTGTGAAAATAATATACTTTTTTCAGTTGGGAATATGACCGAAAATTGGCTATGAAATAAGCCAAAAAAATCCTGGGTAAAAGTAATTATAAGAAAAATCTTATAAAGACCCAGATATTTAACATAAGGCATTGTCTGGTAGACCTTAACCAAGGGGACACAGTGACTTACTTTTTTGTCCTTTGATGTACAGCTTTGAAATTTGGACATTTTTAGATGAAAATCAAACTGGGGTTATGTGCTATTATTATATGTATATAATTAAACTTTTAAGTCTTTTTTCAGTACTTGCCTGTTACTCATAATTAACATATTTCTTAATTAAGTTAATATTTTATTGATATATGCTGAAAGTTTATTTATTGTTTCTGATTTAGGTGCTGTGTGTGCCAGCATAACAGTGGCAGATACTGGTAAGCCACTACCAGATGAGCATGATCAAGGTAATTGGAAATTTATCAGGACATTCATTTATAATTCTCACTGATGAAGTAATATAAATCAATAGTGTACTGATAGAATGTTTATAAAATACTTTGCTTCTGTATGTTTGGTACACCATTTATCATGATTCAATTTGTTATGTGTGTATTTTTTATTTAAATCGACCAAATGATCATATACAAAATACCATTCCTGTTAGCTGTTCTGGTTATTTGGATTACTGTCTGTATGTTATGTTCAAAATCATAAGTACAGGAAAGGAATCAAATTGATTAAAATTGGTATTTGGATGACTCATCAATGCATGCCTTTATACTTGTTTTCATGATAGTTTATATCAATTTTCAGATGGCAAGGCAAAAAATGATGTTTCCGTGCTTAGAGTTTCAAACTATGGTAAAGATGGTTACTTTGTTATAAAAAATGTAAAGTTATAATTAGATTATTATTGAAAGCAGTGTATTTCAATACAGCACTGTTTAGAGTTCAAAAGTGTTTTATTGTAACTGAGCTCTTTACTGATCAATGGAAGAAGTGCAAGTAGATAAAAATGTAGTATTATCTCCCACATATAGAATCAGAGAATGATATTGAAATGGCATTACCTTTCAGTCCATCTATCAGTTGAAGTATGTATAAGGTACAACTGGTTCAAAACAATATTAGTCTCAAAACAATATTGAGTTAAGTGAAAGTGTTTTTCATTTCAGGACATTCTGCAGTCAGCAGTACAGAAAGACGACGTAGGTCAGAAAAAGAATTAGAAAAAGAAAACTTAATGCTCGACAACAAAAGGATAAAACTTGACACTGAAAGAATAATTAAAGAAACTAATAAATTAGAAAAGGAAACAGTGAAAATTGAAAAAGAAACAGTGAAAATTGAAAAAGAAATAGAAAATATAAAATTGAAAAAATCAATTTTGGAAATTGTATTGTCAAGACTGGCAGAAGATCCCCATTCTGTCAGTTTGTTAGATAAATTTGATTTTGATTTTTAGCTATTGTAGTCTTCCGAGCATCGGTGTCTGCGTAACTACTTATGTTAAAGTTTTTGTAATACCTCAAATATTTTTCCAAAGTCCATAGACATCTATGGCCTTTGAAACTTTGCACACTTGTTCACCATTTCATGACCCCCAACATGTAGACAGGAGGAGTTAACTGTATAAAGCATTTGGCAGAATAATGCCCATTTTTCCACTTTAGAATTATACATTTTAAGTTTGCATACCACCTCAGATATTTTTCATATTCTATTGACATCTGGCTTTTGAAACAAGTTTGAAATTTTATACTCTTCTTTGAGAGCAAAATAGGACTTTCTTCAAGGCCTATAACTGTAACATGGATTTAAAAAAAAATTGCCTGTTTGTTAATTTAGAAAATTTTACATTATCAAGTCTGTCCGTCCGTCACAAAACTTGTCCGGACTACTCCTCATAAACTTCTGGTGCAATTTCATCCAAACTTTACATGAATGATCAGTAGCAAGTCTAGTTGTGCATATTGTCAGCATTTTCTGGTTCAATGATTTTTGTCAGAGTTATGGCCCTTTAATAATTTTTATTTCTTAAGTTTTGTTCGTTCGACTACTTCTCTTATACCACTAATGGCAATTTTCATTGAAACTTTACAGGATTGATCTGTAGCTCAAGTCCTTGCGCATATTGCATGGGTTTTCCGGTTGAATGAATTTTTGGCCGAAGTTATGGCCCTTTGATAAAAGCGTGTTTTTTTCTGTGTGTTGCCAGATACACAAAAGCTTGTCCAGACTACTCCTCATAAACTAGTTGGTGCAATTTTTATCCAAAACTATACAGAATGATCAGTACCAATTCTAGTTGTGCACTGTCTGTCCGTCTGTCACAAAACTTGTCCAACATGAAATTGGCCATCATGAGGCGACACGTGATCACTGATCGCTCTTGTTTTACTATCAAGCACTAAGAATAGTAGAGTGTTGCTGTCCTACAACAGCTCTTGTTAAGACAAAACTATAGCCTTTTTAGATCACCTTTCACAAAGTGACAGGGTGAGCTTTTGTGATCGCTTTTTGTCCGGCGTAGCTTTTGTGATCGCTTTTTGTCCCGCGTCCGTAAACTTTTACTTTAAATGACATCTCCTCAGAAACCACTAAGCAAATTTCATCCAAACTTCACAGGAATGTTCCTTTGGTGGTCACCTTTTAAAATTATTCAAAGAATTTAATTCCATGCAGAACTCTGGTTGCCATGGCAACCAAAAGAAAAAAACTTTAAATATCTTCTTTTAAAAAACCCAAGGAGCTAGAGCTTAGATATTTGGCATGAAACATCTTCTAGTGAGTGTCTACCAAGTTTGTTCAAATAAAAGCCCTGGGGTCAAAATTGGCCCCGCCCCAGAGGGTCATTGATTTTCCCTATAATGCATATAGTAAAAACTTAAAAAATATTCTTTTAAAGATCCCAAAGAGCTAGAGCTAAGATATTTAGCATGAAACATGTTCTTATGGATGTCTACCAAGTTCTTTCAAAATAAAGCCCTGGGGTCAAAATTGGCCCCGCCCCAGGGGTCATTCATTTTCCTTATATGTGTATAGCAAAAACTTAAAAAAATTTCTTTTAAAGAACCCAAAGAGCTAGAGCTAAATTATTTAGCATGAAACATGTTCTAATGGGTGTCTACTAAGTTTGTTCAAATTAGAGCCCTGGGGTCAAAATTCGCCTGGCCCCAGGGGTGTCATTGATTTCGATTATATGTGTCAAACGGCCATTTTTCACAATAAGCTCATGGGATAAAAGGTTAAAACAACTCCTCCCATACCAATAGGCCAATATTGTTAAAACTAAGTAAGATCGTTCCTTCTATTATTATACTGTAGAGTCTTTTTGTCAAATATTTTGTATTTTCAAATAATAGTCCTCCGGTCAAACTTGGCCCTGCCCTAGCGAACATAGATTTTCCTTTTTATGTTAATAATAGAAACTAAAAAATTCTTCTCTAAATCTATAAGAGCTAAAACTCAGTACCCATGGTAACAAATAATTCCCTAGCAACCTATGACTTTATACTAGCAAACTGGAAGTTTGCTAGCAACCAATTACTTCTATAGCAAACATTAACTTTCCATAGCAACAAGTGAATCAATCATTGTATTACATAGCAGGCACTGACTACCAAGGAAACTTTTAATTTTGTAAAGCAACAGGACCCTTCTTATGTAAATGTTGTTTTCCCTTAGCAATAGCAACCAGTTGTTTTTACATTTGCACTATTTTAGGTACAAATATGAGCTTTGTGAAATCAGATAATGATTTAGACTTGATATCTTCTTTAGTTTATAGCTTACTTCCTTGCCATGGGGAATATAAATATTCAGATGAGCTATGGACTTGAAACTCTCAAATATTAAATACAACAAGAATATAATTTATGGTTTCTATTATTTATTTTTGCATTATTAATAAATAACAGTGTGTTTATCAAAAATAGTTGTAAAAATGTAGAAAATGATATTTGTTTTGGTTTCTACAAAGTCAATGTAGTAAAACAATTTTTTATAGATTTTCTTTCTATCATCATAATGGAATGGAAATAGATATCAATACTACAATAATCCATGTTTTATTGTTCAAGAACTTTGTGATTAATCACTCAGGCCTACAAGTCTTTGACGTTATGTTAGTGTACATTTAAACACTAAATCAGCTTTAATCGGCTAAAAAATCACTCAAAAAGTGATATTTTTTGGTGAAATAGATAACTGATATCCATATCTTTTACTGTTCACTTGGTCAAATAATTTCATCTCAACTTTACAGAAATTATCAGTTATTATTTAGGATATGTGATAAAAAGAAAATAACATTTGTGTAAGTTCATTTCTAAATTTATTGAACTTGTTAAATATTAAATATTTTGCTCGCCAGAGGCTAGCATGATATTATTTTATTCAACTTGTTCGATTAAATTAGTACATTTGTACTGAACCTACACTCGTTCAATGTCCTTTATTTATTTTTGATATCCGCTTATATTTTCAAAAAAAGAGTATTTAAGTTATTCATTTGCTAATTACCTAAGCAATCTTCTTTTTCTGCTGCTTATTTTGGCAATAAATACATTTACAGTGTTTTAGTAATTTGAATGGAAATTAAAAATAATACATTGTTTACATTTCAGTTCTTTTATAAGTATGACCAAGACTTTCACATTCAGCTCTATTTTCTCCAGGCAATAAAATTGTGTACATCTAACATGCTCTAAAGTCATTTCTTAAATGTTATGAACCTCATATTTCATATTTGCCCTTTTTTTATAAAGGAAATATTAAAAGGTTTCTGAGGCATAATGTGCCTTTAATTCTTGAGTAAGTCTATTGAAATGTATGTTAACATCAACATAATAAAGTTTGAAAATTGAAAAGTTCTGTTTTCATTTAGATTTCTTCATTTCGTTGAAAATAGGAGAGGCCTATAACCTGACAAACCACTAGTGAAATTTATAACATGTAATTTCCACTGTAGCTGGACAATATCTGAATGCTGATGAAAAGAATACCATAACTAAATTGAACAAGAGTCATGTTAACATGGCCATCCCCCGCCGAATTTGTTTGCTCATTGGAAGAATGATATGTACTAGAGCAGAATAATTCAATTTTAAGAGGTCTTTAGGTAAATAAAACTGTTGGCTGAAGTGATTACAGACTTGAAGCCTATGTGAATACTGATGGCTGAAAATAACAAAGGGCAAAAACTGAAAAATAATGCAGGTTAGGTTATCATTCTTGTGTACTGCACTCCTCAATGAGATCTATCCACCTATGAAGTTTCAAGTTGATACCTCAAATACTTTTTGAGATATGCTCCGGGAAAAAATGTCGGATGGAAGGATGGACGGCAGAAGGTTGGATGGACGGAGAGAGACTATTTCTATATCCCCGGCCGCTTTTCAGCAGGGGATAATAACAGGCAAAAATAAATGCTGTCATACATAAATTTTGCTTCTTCAGGAAAAAGAAAGTCAATGTCATCATACATCATGTTAAAAATTAGAGAAATGCAAAAGAACTATATTTCAAAATTGATGATGTGACGTAATTATGTCATGACGTCATAAAGTAAATGCACAACCTAACAATATGCATCAAAATCAGTAAAATAATACTTAGAATCACTTAAAAAGCATGCAATGACTAGAAATGTGTCCATAGGACACAGGTGCCATACTACATATTTTTGGACAACATATGCCAAAAGTTGAAAAGTAAAAATCTTTTACTAAGTAAAGGACAAGAGCTTTACAAATACTGGATAAATCCACAAGTACAACTACACATGCTGATCATTGAACATTCCTGTAAAGTTTCATGACTCTAGGTCAAATCCTTTCCGAGTTACATGCGACACAAGTTGAATATTGCAAATTTTTTACTAAGTCAAGGGCAGTAACTCTATGTAAACAGAAAAAATCCACAAGTGAAACACCAGGTGCACAACTTCATATGCTGAGCAACAAACATTCTTGTAAAGTTTCATGATTGTAGGTCAAATAATTTTAGAATTACATGCGACACAAATTGAAAGTAAGTTAAGGGCAATAACTCTAAAAGATACTGAATAAATCCACACGAAAATAACCAGGTGCACAACTACACATGCTGATCAACATTCCTGTAATGTTTCAGGACTAGGTCCAATCCTTTTTGGGTTACATGCGACACAAGTTGAAAATTGCAAATTTTTACTAAGTAACAGGCAGTAACTCTAAAAACACTATATAATCCACACGAAAATACCCAGGTGGACAGCTGCTCATTATTATCAACAATCCTGAAAAGTTTTATGACTAGGTCAAATATTTTTTTAGTTACCTGCCGGACAAAAGAGAACGAACAGACAGACAAGGGTAAATCTAAATGCCCCACTTTTAAGTGGGGGCACAAAAAGAAAATTTATTTGTTTTACATATTAGATTGAAATATATTTCATTTGTATACTCCAGATATTCTATTTTCAATCAAGGCTACGCCCCTCAAGAAAATATTGCATCTGGTGTTCACTCAGTGAAATATATTTCATTATTACATGCAAAACAAACAAATATCCTCTATATAATGAAGGTTTCCTTGCCTACAGACACAGAAACCTGAAGTTTAAAACAAAACAAAAATTCAACAATATATACATAATATAAGTGATATTTCCTTGGTTGTTGAAATATTTTTGTTTTGTTTTAAACGTCAGTTTCCTGTGCTTAAAAGAAATTTTGACATAAATGTTGGCGAATTCCAGATCCATCGTTATGTTCTGGAAGGCTAACATTGCTGGCATCATTTCCAATGTCAACTTCGCCAGTGTCGTCAAGAGGTTCATCCCTCTGCATGGCAATGTTATGGAGGACAACACATGCCATTGTGACAAGTGCAGCCCTCTCAGGTAACATGCGAAGCCCGACCTGTAGGCATGGAAACCTTCTCTTTAAAATACCAAAACTTTGCTCAATAAGGACTCTCGCCCGACACAATGCTGAATTAAACTTCCTCTCCTTTTCGTCACTAGGTTGGTTATATGGTGTCATTAGAAAAGGGCGACATGGATAAGCAGAGTCCCCAACCAAAAGTCCATCATACTGTCCTAAAACATATAAATACATACATATTTTTTGTTGCCATCAAACTGATATAATAGAAAATACATTCCGAAGACATGTCATTTGCTCATAGTGATTTACATTCATATATGAATTCATGATTAGATTAGAGATTGTGAATATCTTTAGCATTAAATGTATTTTTATAATACAACTTTACTTTTATTATAGAAAAAATTATGATTTAACATTTCTAAACAAACTAATATTATAATGATTATGAAGATGGCTTAATTCATGACAAAGTAAAACTGAGACAGACTTCATGTTAGTGTCCGGGAATTATAAATATTTTGAGTCCCAATCACTGTGGATATCTGTTAATGTTTTTTTTGTTTTGTTTTGGGTTTTACGTCACATCGACACAGTATAGGTCATATCGCGACGTTCCAGCTTTACTGGTGGAGGAAGACCTCAGGTGCCCTTCCGTGCATTATTTCAGACACTAACGGGCACCTGAGTAGAACCACCGACGTTCCGTAAGCTAGCTGGATAGCTTCCTCGCATGAAATAATTCAAAATCCCTGTCGGGATTCGAACCCACAGCGGTGAGGGGCAAGTGGTTTGAAGTAAACGACCTTAACCACGGACGCCCCATCTGTTAATGATCATAGCTCAGAACAAATTTAATTTTATTTTTTTTCTGTATTAAATTTATTATGAATAAAGATTTGAAGATGATAAATAAGTGAAATTAATTGTATGTTAAATATAACTGAAAGCATAAAGGAAAGCAAGTGTTTACTCACCATTTTCCAAACTTTCACAGAGTTTACTGTTCCTAAAGACCCTCGCGTCATGTGTGCAGCCTGGCCACTCTGCTACACAGTTTAAGAACTTAAATTCAGCATCACAAACCATCTAAAACAAAATTATATTCAGTTTGTATAAATATTCATGTGTAAGTCGTCTCCTTTATATAAACAGGGCAGCACGAAATACCCAAATATACCCAAATACACCCAAATATACAAAATATTGCCCAAATATTGCCTAAATATACCCAAATATTGCCCAATTATACTACAAATAAATGTTTTATACTAAAAAAGTGCAAGGGCGGCCTGGTGGGGTCTCGAACCCAAGACCCTAAGAAAACCATACCGCAGCTCTTCCTACTGAGCTATCTGACCACTTACAAACTATCCAAATCAAATCAAATCAAATCAAAATTTAAACACCCCTAATTAGTATCAGTTCAATAATATAACACTAAGATAAGTAAAAAACAAGAATTATGTCAAGAATAAGGTTGAAAGCCAGATGCAACAGAGACTGTGGTTGTCAGTCTGCCATCTAATTGTTGTTTTTATAAAATTATCCATGGGACAGATAATGGATAACATGTTTCTTTGCAATCAAATGATTTTTAATGAATTTGGTTAACACCTTAAACTACCAACATTATTTTAAGCTTTCTTTGTAAACTAATTAAAGAAATAATTTAATAATCATATACCTGTACATTAATCGAATGAAACCCTTTTCTGTTAACAAAGTCACTTTCATTGTTGGTTGGGGCCTGAATCTTAACATGCGTACAGTCCACAGCTCCAATTACATTTGGAAATTCTGAAGCAAAGCATATATTAAATCATGTAATACTGTGATAAATTCTTTACTTGAACATCATAGTATATTATCTACTATTTTAACACAACCCACATATTTCCCCACTGAACACAGAGAACTGAAATTTGTGTGTTTTTATGCAACAAAATCACTGTTGAGTCATTCTATATTTAAATATGTGAAACATAATCATTGAACATGTGACGTAACCACAAAAACAATTGACGCAATGAAAATAAGTACAGAAACAAACCAGGCACATTTTAGCTTATTGATCCTGGTGGCAGCAATTATTTGTTGATGTCATGTTATAATCCAAATAATAAATCACAAACTTTGATTTTATCACTTGATAAAATCGCTGTTTGTCGTTCAGATGCACAACATGATAACTCTTGGGCCACGCCCTCTTGACATAATTCATCGAATCCAATTCCTGTGATTTTATTGAGCAATAAAATCACAGTTTGGGATATAATTTCATAATTTAAAGTTTTATTAGCAAATTATTAGCAAATTAATACTTACATATACATTAAAAATGACTGTCTTATATACATAATGTTTGATTATTTAAAAAAATGTATAAGTAAGGTGCTCAAATTTGATATTAAATTTAGTATTGATACATGTACTATAGCTGTTACTACAGTCTCTTTAAATTATATGAAATAAACATATTTTGACTTCACACAAATGAAGATATGTTATGTCTAAAATTATACTATAATGCTACATGTGGTCACAATATGAATATAAAGTGTCAATCAAAAAAGACTGGTGGTTTATTTAAGACAAGAAAACAACTACAAAATGTATACTTTAGGCACCTTCTTACATTCTACCTTCTTATCATAGTTTATTCATTCTTTTAATCAAATAAGACTTATTAGATCTATAAGTTTCAACATATTTCAATAGATTTCTGTGATAAAAATAGTCTACTCAATGATATATCTTAAACATATTTTGATATCTGTTTTTAAATGTTTTAATTATAAATGTTGGCCGGTTATATCTGAATAATGGTCTTTAATCGTCGAGTACGAAAATGTTTGGGAACGAATATACTGAAGTAGTTCAGCGTCCCTGTAAAATGGATTTCTCATATGCACAAAAGGTTAATCAGGCAAATTGAGGCAGATATATATGGAGCATATTCAAACGAATTATCAACTAAAAAACTTATCTTTAAGGATTTGCTGAATCACTTTTTGTAAATCCTTCAATCGTTAGCAGCCATTTGCAATTCTAGCCTCGCTGTAAATATCAAGGTCAGTCCAAATTTAGTAACAATAATTTTGGAAATTCCATTTCTTTTCAGTAATGCTATTTTTAGGTACATAATGTAAACAAAAGAAAATTGTACAGTTGACTTACTACTAATACGATAGAACTTCTCCTTTGTGACCCTTGTTTGGGAAGCCGAAGGCATGTGTATAAATTCCTTTGCTGCAGAAACAAGTGCCTTGGCAACCGTTATCACGCATCTCGAAACAGACGATTCTGACAGCCCTGTAGAATCGCCGACGAGGCGCATGAAAGACCCCGTGGCGAAAAACCGCAGGGCTGTCAGAAGCTGTAACATTGGCGGCACAGACTGGCTCCTTCTCGTCGATCTGCTCAAAAATCTCTCTACTATAGCGAATATATATAAAATGGACGCCTTAGAAAACCGGTATCTTTTCCTAAGTTCACCATCATCCATATCATCTAACGAGAATCGTTTTCTAAAAACTCGTTTGTCACGACGACGACGAAGGTGTACTCTTCTCGAAAGCGCCATTTTGATTGTCTGAGACAAAAACTGAGACAGCAAACCTTTGTCTCAATAAATCTGAGAAAAATCTCAAGTCTTAAGTTGAGATTTTTCTCAGATTTTGTTAGTGAAAGCCAAACTGAGAAAAATCTCAATCTCAGTCTCTGAGTTGAGAAAAATCTCAGATTTGAGCTGAGATTTTGACTTTGAGAACGTTAGTGAAAGCCGGGCCAGATCTCTGATATTGACTCTAATAGTCATTTGTCTCTCAAATCATGTTGGCTTAGTTGTCGGTCACTTGTGGCAAAATAAGAAGTTACTGTTTAGTTATTTTCAAGAAACAGATTAGATGGGTTGACCGCCGAGATATGACCAAAGCATGTGTTAAACTCGGCGTAAAAATAATAATTAAAACAAACAGCAAATTGAATGCGTTATCATACACTTATGAAAATGAGCAGCTATTCTTCAGCTATAACTTCTCACGTAATCTGACCTGGATAAACGAAAACATTCAAAACATGTTTCATAATTCCAAACAAACCATATATTATATTATCATTACATCAAACAGATATAACGGAATGAGATTATATACCCTAAGTTAAGGAGACATGAATATGCACACTTTGTAAAAAAAAGAATTTGAGATTGTTTCTGCTTCTGGTTTTCTGTGTCGTGGACTGCTTCCGGTGAACGTTGCTATTGTCTTGTTGATCTTCGTTCTTAAATTTTTACAGAGCTGCAACTGTTAAAGTTGAAACAATGTGAAACGCATTAACGCAGGTGGTAAAACAATATATGCTTACAATTCAATGTTTATGTTACAATAGTTTTCTCTCAATCATTTGTTTATTTAATCTATCACTAATTTGTCTTTGGTCTTCCTGAATTATTAATAGAATTACTCCTTGTAAAGAAGAAGATGTTAATACGGGACTTTAGAAGTGTAATGCATGCATTAAAAATATTCTTCCATCTACACCACCGTGGATAAGCGTTTCTAGCATTACAATAACCATTATTTGAAGCCCTAAACCATAATCTACTGTAATATCAAATGTGATAACCACGCGCCACCAGTAAAAATACAAAAGGAAAACAAGTCGCTCAATTTCCTTCCATATTTATACTATCATGCGCAATTCTATCCAATTTTATGCATAATGTACACAATCATAAATTAATAAAAAATATACATCATCGTCGCATTGGCCAACGTTACCTTGCCTTTATGAAGATAATGACGTTAACGTTCACTCTTTCTCACTGTATTGTCCTTCTGCTGCCATACATATTTGATGACGCATCACCAACGACCGAAAAAAACATTGAAAAACCACTCCTTACCAAATACTTTGCTCATTGACACATTTTCAGTTATTATCTTGTGATTTGTGGTGGTGTGATTTTACTGATGTCATTTTTTTCCCGCTATTTCTCACACTGACATGCGACGATCGCCATCAAGTATTTTCCTAATCTCGTCACAAGAGACGCTCGGTTATCAAGACCAACCTTTAATCATCTACAGTAGACATGCGGCCTACTTTGAATCTTTTATACCATTCATTCACGACTGTACGCGACAATGTTTTTCTTCGAATGACTTCTCAAGCATTGCTATAGTTTCTTCCGGTGATACATTTATACTTCAAAGAACTGAATAATATCTCGCTGTTTTTTGATAATATCTCGATCCATGGTCAGCTAGAGCACCATGCCATTTACACGTTGTTATTACGTCATTTAAATCTAAAATAATTCCACAAATGACGTCATATGTTGCTTAACGTCATTGTAATGTTCAAGATATATTTTAAGACAAAACGTGACTAGCTGTGTATATTCAATCAAAATGTATATTAACAAAACACGAGGTTGTTCTAATATCATATATTTTCCTGAATTAGTAATTATAGATTTATTTGTTTTGGTAATAAAATTTAATTTAACATTCTACTTTTTTGACATATTGGAAACTCATAGTAAATAATAATTGCATGTGATTTTTTTTGGCATTGATTTAATGGCATGATACCACAGCTCCGTCATTATTATTCAAGGATGTTTGGAAATGAGCGACACAATCTACTATTATCTCTAAGCATTAGTTCTAATATGTGTTTTCTTGTAATATACATACACATGTATATTGACTTACTTAATGAGGTAGCTTGATATATGCGGCATGTACACGTACTTGTTTGCCATTTTATTTATACTGATTATGATGACAAAAATAAATTTAAAATCTTATGATGAAATATGTATTGCTTTCCTTAAAGGAAAAATAGTCATTAGAATTGTATATTCATTTTTTAAATAAAAACCAATTATTTGACTTGTATATTTATACTTTATAACATCTAAAGCCGTAAACGTTGTCATTGACGTTAATTATAAAATGTAAATCACCCTTAAAATGTTAGAGATAAATATCACTATGAAACAATAAGCAAATTAAATTTTTTCTTTTACTTATTTCAAGAACTATAGAATTAAATTTCTTTTAAGAATACAATATGTCATTTAATAAAGGGACTGAATTATCGTGCCAGTGGTCATATATCCTATTCACATACATAACCAGTAACATTAAAACAAAACAAAATATTGGTTTACATACAAATGTCATGTGGTAACAAGAAAAGAAGTATAAAAGGAAAATTCTAAAATGCTTAGAGAATACACAATAACACATGTGTATGTAAAAGAAACATTAATATACACTACCTAAGAAATCTCCTTAAGTCTATTTTATGCCTTTGATGTTAACATTGTTCTCAGCTCTTAAACTAAATTATAATTTTCAGGAATATGTCACTTTGAACACATTTGTGAGAACTCAAGATACAGAAATTAAATAGTTTTTGTTCGTCGCTTATGTTTCATACGATATTGTTAGAATTGAATTCGACCACGTTTCAGCAGTCCTACGTGCAAGTTTATTTCAAATAAAGTAATATCAATGATGAGAGAGGCAAGGAAATTAATGTGTCTACGTACTTTAGAGACCCACTAGGCTGTTGTACTCAACACGTACACTGAATCCAAATATTTGTTTTATAGATAAGTGGTCTTGTACTCAATTAAACTTATGATTCATTATAAAAAAAGCCAAAGAAACGTTATCTAGTATATGTATAATGCCACAGTGAGGTTTAAATGTCTTTATACGAGTTTAATTAACGGGAGGATCACCAAAGTGTGCGATTCTTTAATTCGTTTTCAAGATGCTTATCTTGCATACTGTTCTAGTTTGGTATTATGTCGTATAGGAATTACTATTACTGACAAACAGATGTATTTCATATAGAAATTTGTCAATAGTCTATTGTATATCAGAGAATCATCTATTCTGCAGGAAATGTATTGTGGTTATATTAAGAGGCTTTTACATTTCTTCCTGAAGAAAAATATGAACATACCAAAACTACTGTATACAGTTATTGCCATTTACGTCATTAAAAAGAAACCATTGTCTCTAAGCTTGTTTATATATGGCAAATAAGCTAAAACTTCTTTACCGCTATACATATATTTAGGGCAAATAAGATAAAACTTCTTTACCGCTATACATATATTTAGGCATCCTGAAACAATGCTAGCACAAGATTTATTTGTTTCTGTCAAAATTCCTTTTAACGATATTGAATTTGAATTTAATTTCGATAAGATGTTGTAAGTGATACTGGGAAATCAGATATTGAATGGTTTTCAGTACATCATCACTTGTCTAGCTGTGTAAGAAGTTTGTATTAACTGAAATGTGCGTTAAAAAGATGAGATTAATTAACCTCTAATGCTTTTATTATAAGGGATTGTTGATTTGTATTTACGCATGCGCTATCATATATGAACGATGAACATATAAGAAATAAGTGCAATGTAATACAAGCATGCCCAATCGTTGGCAAAAAGAGAGAACAATGTTCTCTTTGAGAACAAGAAAGTATTTATGTCATAGCTAGATGTTACATCTGTTGTCTTGTATCATTTGACATGTTTTATGTGCATAAGTCATAAATCAAAATGTTTTTGCTGCAGTAATCATACGACAAAATCAAACTTATATCATTTATAACAAATGTTTTTGTCATGACAACATCAGGTACCGCTTAGTTTTGTATCATTATTTTTTATCTGGTTGGTATTTATTTGTTTGACTAGAACACACGTGCTAGGATAACTTATTTTACAGCTAGAATGTTGTTTGTAGAAACCTCGTGTGTTCTAACCCTCTGGTACCTTTCTTTCTATCTATATGTACTTGTTATTGACGATGAACAATTGGAACGTCAATACTTGTCAAGATATAGGAAGGATAGCTTGTGTACCCTTATACATCAATGATGCTTCTGCTCACAATTTTTATAATAAATTAGGTAAGTTTTTAAAAAAACATCAAGGTTCCAATGTGTAATGCAGTATGAGGATATAAATTAAATATGTAAATAAGATGTGAAATAAATATGTATATCCTAAATATTCTTTAGAGTTTTAAAGCTTTAGGTTTTAGTAGACCACTAAAGCATAAAACTGTTAGATCATGAGATCTGACACATATTAGTGGACTTTAAATGTTGATTTATATTTGACGTATATTGAGCAATGAGCAATGAATAAAAGAAGATATAGGTAAATAGTTACAGAAGTACACATACCGTGAAAGCGCTGCTTTTAAGAGTTCTGCCATTAAGTGTAAGCCACTTAAAAATGCATACGCATTATAAAAACATGTTTCCCGATGAAAGATATTTATTTTCTTCCTTGTCAGATGAGCACAAATCCTACATATAATCCTTTAATTATCAATCACTAGACTCTGCTAGAGTTTAAAAATACTGTTTAGGCTTATTTATATATTAATGTGATTTTAGATAATATAATTATCTTTAAAGAATATTTGAAATGTTTAAATGGTATTCTCCACAACACAAAGATAAATTTTTTCATGGTTTTTAATAATACAAAAAAAAATTCAGAATATGTATTTCCAAGCTCGTTCCAATATTTTTGTGTTAGTAAGAGAAAGAAATATTAAAGAAAATTGAGTAACGCTCCTATCGGAAAATATACATGCTAGTAAAGAATCGTATTTTTTTAATTTTAAAAGTAAATCACCATTCTAAATACCCCTTTCTTTCGCAAAATGTTGTTGTATTTTGAAAGATAAATGAGAGCTTAAAATTTTAGTTTTCACTTCAATGATAAAA